AAAAATTTACTTTTGGATATGTTGGAAAAAAATTTTAAATGAAGTTTGTGTTTTTAGTAAAAAGTACTTAGACAATGTTCAATTTCAAAATTTAGCTTATGTTTAATTTTTCAGTTACCCTGTCTTAAATAAACACAGTCAGGCTTGGGTTTTTTTTTATTGTAAATTTTTTTTAAATACTTGCCTTTTCCAGGGATACGTTTTATGCTGACTTATATATAATCTTTGAATTTGGGTTTTTTATTTTATGCCTTTTCACTAACTCTTTATCTAGTACTCTTTCATTTGTTAAAAAATGTTATTCCATTTTTTGTATTGGGCCTTTTAACAGGAAAAGAAGTCTTCAGCCTGCTCTGGTGCAAGGCAAAAGTTTTTGCAAAAAAGACTGCCAAAGGAAAAATCCCCGGAATATTTACCGATTTGAGGTAAAAATCTTTAGGCAAAATACCCCCCGATTCCCCCCAATACTGCAAAAACTTATTGCAAGGGTTATATTTAGGCCCAAAAGGTTTGTATAACAAAAATTTAAATTTTTTATATATACAAGTCCCAAAAGTAGAAATTTTTTTTTTCCCCAAAGGTTCTTTATGCTAGTGAGGGAAACTCCCTTGGGTCCACTGGGAATTTTTACCTGACCTTTCTTCCCCCTTTGATTGAGCCTAATTGGGCCCCCCTTTCCCGTGGCACCCGCGTGGGCCCCCCATGGGTTTTGGCTCCACGGTTTAATGCAAAAAAAATAAAAAGATTTCTTGTAATACCCAAGGGAAATTTAAAAAGGTTTGCAAATAAAGATTTTTAAAAATTCATCCAAAAATTTTGGGGTTTTTTTCTAATGCAGGAAGTAATTTTCATTTTTACATTTGCTTTTAATTAATTTTTTATTTTTGAGGTTTTTTATGTAAGTTCCTAAAAAGGAACCCTGTTTGGGGGCCCCAAAATTTTTTGATAAAATTTGGGGAACTTTTAGCATTTTTTTTTTAGTTTTTAAAAAGTGTAAACAAATAAGTGAGAGCTTCATATTTTGGGGGCTACATTCCTGGAGATCCCACAAGAAAGGAAGAAGCTCAAAAGTAAATCCTGTTTCACCCCAAAAAAAGGGTATTTTTTTTTTAAATTTTCCATATTTTACAGCGAACCCAAAACTCTCGGTGTCGATACATTTTTTCCCCTCCTCTCCAAATTTTGACTGAATAAAATTTAAAAAAAAAAAAAAAAAAGATAAATGGTACTTCGCCTCCAAAGGGACTGGGGAAATGTTATGAGACTTATTTCAGAAAAAAAAATACATCTTTGATGCTGAAAAAATGGGATACCCAAACTATAAGTTGGACAACATCATATTTTTTCTTTTTTAAAAAAATTAAATAATCTTTTGTAGATTTTCACTACTGTATTTAGATGTCTAGCTTCTGTTCTGTTTAATTTTTTTATAAATCTGATAAAGTTATATGGGTTTAAATTTTTCATTAGGGAAAAGCATTTTGTAAAACACCCAAAGTTGCTTGAAATATTAATTCCCCTTTTTGTGCAAATTTAAATTTGGTTTTCCTGTATTTACATTTTTCCTTTTTTACTTATAATTTTAGAGTCAAGTAAACTTATTGTAGTAATAGCTTTTTTACTTTAAACTTAATTACAGGTTGGGGGGAAGGGGGGAGAAGAAAAAATTAAAATGAAAAGCAGTCCGGGGAAAAAATTTAAGGGGCTTAATGAAACCCTTTAAATGTTTATTTTTTTAGTTTTTGATTTAAATTTTATCTGTTTGTAATTTATTATTATAATGATAGGGTTTTTTTTATTTTTTTAAGAACATTTAAAATATATTAAGGGATTTTTTGGTAAACGCAAACCACCCAGGGGGGTACTCCCTCCTGCCAAGTGAAATGTTTAAAAAAAAAAAACGAAAACCTGTAATTGGGTTTTTCTGGGTGGTAGGGTTGCTGGGGGTCTTTTTTTTCCCGTCTCATAAACATGCAAGATTTCAGGGGATTCTTGCTCTTTACTTTCATTTAAAAGGTTTACATTACACATACATGTACAAGCCATATAAATTTCACACACACACCCCCCTGGGTTTTCTTTTATTTCTTTCAAATTTTGTTCTTTTATTTCCCCTTTCCTCCTGGGGGGAAATGGAACAGAATTCTTCCTCCTAAGCCATTCTGTTGTAAGAGGGGACTAAAATGCCGGGGGCAAGGGGGGTAGTAAAAACCCCCCCCTCCTTATTTATTACTAAATTTAAAAAAAGAAAATTTAGTTTTTTTTTTTTGGGCCACCCCGCCTCGGGGGATTTCGGCTGGTAAAGTTGAAAGAAAAAGTTTTAAAAAAATATAAATAATAATTTTTTGTGATACCCTGTACGTACATGCGATTATGTTGAATTTTTTTTTAGATGGAATTTGAAAGTCCTAGGTAGGGAGGGTTTGGGAGACACAGCCGCCCCTGGGGGTAATACCGTCCCGCCCCAAATGGGGTGTAAAATGGAAGCCTTTAATTGGGTTTTTCATGTGGTAGGATTTTTGGTGTCTTATCTATGTCTCATAAACATGCAAGATTTTAGGTTACGTCTTGCTGCTTCTTTCTTTTACTTGGTCCCCCACTACACATACATGTCAAGCTTTTATATACACACACCCCTCTAGTTTTTCTTCTATTTTTTACTATTTCTTGGGTTTTTTGTTTATTTCCCCTTATCTCCATGGGGAAGGGGGAACGAAAAACTTCCCCCCGGGAAAACCATTTTGTGTTGGGAAGAGGGGGCTAACAAGCCAGGAGCAAGGGGGTGTTAAACCCCCCCTTTCTGTAAAATTTTTAAATTTTTAAAAAAAAACTTTTTTTTTTCTTTTTTGGGGGGACCTGCCTCGGTGGGTACGGCCAATTTTGTTTAAAGAAGAAAAAAAGAAGGGAAATTTTAAAAGTGATAAACTTGTCCCTAGTACTGGGGTTTGTACTTGTGTAATTTCCTTTTTTAAAAACCCTTACTTTTAATTAAAAAAAAAGACGCTTCCCTGATTCACGAGCCTGCTCATTTGAACCACCTGCCTCAGGGCCCCCCCCGGTTTTTCCAAAAAGAGGCATGGGCTCGACGGGGGGCTCTGGGGCCCCCCTTTTCACATTAAAATTTTATGCCTCCAAGACATCCACTGTGTTATTTTTTAAATCCAAAATCCCTCCCAACCCCCACAAAAAATAGTTTGTCCTGTGTACGTAATTTGTTGTTTTACTTAGCTAAAACCTTACTTTATAGAGGCGCTCCCCTTTGGGTAGCTAAGATGTCACAATCCCCGCTCATTTGAACCACATTTTAAATCGTAGGGAAAAAAAAGGCAGGGTAGGGGTCACCCCCAAAAGGGTTTGGGGGGAGGGGGGGTTTAAAAGGGGGTTTGTGGGGAGGGGCTTGGACTTTCCCAAAAAGCGGCATGAGAAAATTTTGATAGGAGTGAATGGAGACGAGTGGGGTTTTTTTTACCCCTGAAGAACTTTTGGGAAATGCGGGTCAGGGTATTTTTTTTGTGAAGGGGGTTTAGGGGAAACCCGTTTTTGGAAATTAAATCCCCGGAAATGGGAAAATATACAATCCGCCTTTAAAGGGGGAGGTTTGGGATATTTTCAGTTTTGGGGGGATGTTAAGGTGTCATATCTGGCGCCTTTGCAAAGACAGTGATTTTGTATGGGGTGATGGTGAAAGTGTTGAATGATAAAAGTTTTTTTTTTTTCTTTTTGGGTTTACCCCTGGGCCCCGGTGGGAAATGGCCGACGTGTTAAAAAAAAAAAAAAACAAAAATTCGGGATTAAAAACACTCAAATGGGAAATTATTTTATTTTCAAGGAAACAAAGTATCCCCTAAAGCTGTTAAAAGTACCAGGGAAAAAAAAAAGTAAACCCAAAACTGATCTAAAAAACAAGGGGAAGGGAGCTCCAGTTCTTTGGATCACCACAAGGAAAAAATACCTTAAAAGGACTTAAAAAATTTAAATTTAAAAAAAGGAAGTGCTTGGGGAGTTAACTCATGAAAAAGGTTTTGTGCTCATTTATGCAAACCTTTTAACAAATTGTAAAGGCAAACCCGGGAAAAGAATCAAATTTGGCTTCATTTTTTGTAATATTCCCAAATTTTTTCGTTTTAGATACACAGATTTAAAAACCCACAAGAAGCGTCAAGAAATCTGGTTCACCCGGGTTGTAGTCCCCGGGGGGTATATTGGGGCAGGGGAAACCCCTTTCCCAAAGAAGTTGATCTCCAGGGCATCTTTGGTAGGGGTAAATTTCTTAAATTTTTAATATATTCATGGGAAATTCTGAACCCATAAGGGGTCAAACAGCATTTGGGGGAATGGGAAAGGAAATTAAGAAACAGAATGATACTGACAGGGTGGGTGATAATGAACATTGTGCGGGTTTTTAAATTGTTTATATGTTTTTATCCACCACATTTCATTCACAAAAACAATGTGTGTTTTTGAATTTATGCAAGGTATTCAGAGCTTTGAAAATTTGAATACAGTAAAATTTTTAAAAAATATTCCAAAGGGCCCGAGGAAGGGTTTTTTTGAAGTAGTTTGGGGATTTAGAGAAGATGAAGCAGAACAGGAGACCAAGAGGGGGGTATAAATCCTAGGTAAGAGGGGAAAGGGGGAAGGGTTTTAAATCATGGGGGGTGGTAAAGTTTGTTTTAAGGGATTTGGGAAATGGGTTTGCGGGTTTGAGTTTTGAAAGGGGCGGGGGGCAAAATGGGCCCGCATTTTGAAAGGGGGGTGGGGATGCTGTTTTAGAAAAGGGGGCAATTTAATTTTATGTACACAAATTTTTGGTAGGAAAAACAGTTGAGTGAAAAGATTTGGGGAAAGGGGGTTTTTTTTTGGTCACTTTGGATGGGGCCCCTGAGGTAAAAAAAAAAAATCCCATTTTAAAAATGTGTTTAGATTAAATGGGGGTAGGGAGAGGGTGGTTTAAAAGTGTAACAGATATTCTGATTAATAGCCTTTTTTTTCTTTTTTAGATATGTGTTAAAAGTTTTAGTATTACTGATCCCGACTTGAACACAGTTGGTACTTGGGGGATACTTTGGCCCGCATCGGGATTTTTATCACCCCTTTTCGGGCCCCAAAGCCCATGTTACCCTTTTTAGGGTACCCGGGCCTTTTTTATGCCGTTCCCCGGTTTTTACATTTCCCAAAATTTTGATTTTGCCAAGGTGAGTTTTCTAAGAAGAAACTATTAATTTTTTTAATTTAAAGGCTCTGTTTTAATTTTTTCCCTATGCAGTATTATAAATCCAGTAGAGTTTTCCCTTCATAAATACCTTCTAAAAATACAGGGGTCAAGGTTAATAGAAATTTTCTTCCCTTTGTCATCTTACAATACTTTCAGATATTTTTCTTTTTGCCTTTCTTAATTTCAGTTTTTCCCCTTGTCATTATAGTTTTTTCCCTTTATAACCCACAACACGGGACTTAAACCCTTTTTTCTTTAGCAAATTTTTGGGGAATCTGCCCCACAAATTTATTTGCCAGTAAATGGGTGGGGGCCCTCTTTAAAACAAGCCTAAAAATTTTGGGTCTCTTTGGGCATATCTGAAAAGCACACACACACACAGTCCTTTTTTTTGAAAAAGGGAAAAGAGAAAAAAAAATGATTCTTTTTTTCAGTTGAAAAAAAACACTTCAAGGGGGGGAGCCCAAAACCCCTTAAAAATGTCCAAACATAGAAACTACAATTTATGTGCGTAGACGCTCTGAAAAGGAGATCAAAGTTTTTTTTAAAATAAAACATGTAAAATCGAATGTAAAAACCCATGTTTTGGGGCACCCAAATGGGAACCCTAGATCTAAGTTTTTGGGCAGTGAAAATTTAAAAATTTTATAAAGGGAAAAATGATATCTGTAAAATTATTAAAAATTTAGGGGGTGCACTAAAACCTTTTCAATATAAAATAGGGGGTAATCAGGTGATATTTGAGAAATTCAGGAAATTTGTTCCAGTTCTTTGGGTTATAGAAACCCCACCTTGAATTGTTGTCATCTGTTTTGGGCAAAAATTTTTTTAGTGTTTAGTTTGCATTTTTGAGATTTGCTTTTGAGTGTTTTTTTTTTCTGCTACACTTGTTTTAAAGTTTAAAGCAGAATTTTCATTTATTCATAATTTTTTTTTTTTTTTAGGACACCCTCTCCCGCATTTTTCCATTTATGTAATAAATTTTAAAAAAAACTTGCTTTTTCTTTTTACAATAGAAAAAGTTGATTGAGTAAAAGAATTTTAAAATATGGATCGCGGAATTTAGTTGCACAGGGTTACACTCTGGGGTGGGCTGTAAGCTTTTCATGATTTTTTCCGGGCCGTGGGCAAGCTGAAAGTCCTTAACAATTGTTGAGTAAAAAGGGTCCCTTTTTTTTTTATATTCATGGGAACTGCTATATATTATCTGTGGGGTGATTTTTAACTGGGTTTGATTCAAGGAAAGGAAAGCAGCACCAAATTTTTTTTTGGGTTCGAGCTATTCACCCGGGGATTTAGGGGCCCAAATGAAAAAATTTTTTTAAATGAAAAATAAAATTTTTTATTCAAAAAAAAGGTTTTATTTTTTCCCTTTTGTTTTAATTTTTTTCTTTTAATACAAGTTTAGAAGGGGTTTTGGGGAAATGATAGAAATTAAAAAAACAAAAAGTATCATAATAGCAACTTTGAATACAAAAAAAAAAAGAAAAAACAGTAAAACCTTTCATTAAAGGACCTCTCATTTAAAAGATTTTGGCAATTTCGGGGGAAAAAAAGTTGACCAGGGCAAATTTTTTGGAAAAAAAATCAACAAAATGGCAAAAGTGCTTGATTCTGGATTTTGTTTATATGGATAGTGTCTGGTTGTCTTCTGAAGGATCAGACAAAGGTCGATGACTTTTGACGTTTGATGGTACGGGTTAGAGCAGCCATGTCCAGGACCTGTCTGTTTTTATTGTTTCCTGAACCATAGGCCACCCTTGCCAGTTTTGTGCTCACTCCTCCAAACACTCATCATTTAGTCTTAGTTTTTCCTGAATTTAGAGCATTTTGTTTGACTGTTGACATATGATACATAAAGTGCAGTTAACAATGGCTTCTAAAACTAGTGGTGCCAAGAGGAAATATGCAGTTCGAGCTCTACCCACTGTGTGCTTTCCATCTGGTATGTTGTTCACACAAACCAGAACCAGCACTGGGGAAGTACTAAACTCATAAATCATACAGCACCTGAGGAATGTGAGGTAATTAGGTTTAATCCAAGGAAGGGGAGGGTGGTTCAAATTCTTTTGGGTCAAGAGCCCCTCACATGACAGAATAATAAGGGTTCTGTGCAGTTGTTATTGGTTGTTTGTGACGGGGAGATAATGAGATTGTTTTTGTTCTGTACATTAGTGATGATGTGCAAGTGTCGATTGGTCATAGTCCCTTTGAGATAATATGTAGTGATTTGGTCACAAGACCTATTACAGCCACCCATCTTCCATCATTATCAACTTCCCCACTCTCTTCTTGTGAGTTACTTCCTGTTGTTTGTTTTGGCTTCACTGTAGGCCACAACATTAATTTGTCCCAAAAATGCCTGAGGTGAATTCAGTGGTATCCTTATTGTGGTTCACTGCTACAAATGCTGTCATTAGAACATAATTAGACTACAATTTCCACAGATACACTCTTACTTTCAATTTGTTTTTCTTTCCCCACTATTATTTGCTCCTCAGCTGCCGTTTCATTAATGTACAGATAAATTAATTCGGAAGTATTCAGACATATGTATTTGGGTAGAATGAAAGGGGGTAAAGCAGCTGGGATTGATGGTATAAAGATAGAAATGTTAAAGCAGGTGAGGATATAGTTTTAGAGCGGTTGGTGCTTTTATTTAATAAATGTATGGAAGAGGGTAAGGTACCTAGGGATTGGCAGAGAGCATGTATACTAGTTCCTTTGTATAAAGGCAAAGGGGACAAAAGAGAATGCAAAAATTATAAGGGAATAAGTCTGTTGAGTATACCTGGTAAAGTGTATGGTAGAGTTATTATTGAAAGAATTAAAGAATAAGATGGAGAGTAGGATAGCAGATGAACAAGGAGGTTTTAGGAAGGGTAGAGGGTGTGTAGACCAAGTTTTTACAGTGAAACATATAGGTGAACAGCATTTAAATAAGGATACAGAGGTTTTTGTGGCATTTATGGATTTAGAAAAGGTATATGTTGAGGAAGAAAGGGAGGCGGTAATTTCATGCACTGGCCAGGGAGGTATACCATCTTTTAGGAGTGAAGAAGAGCAGAATGTAAGTGTGGTGGAGGTACGTGAGGCATTACGTAGAATGAAAGGGGGTAAAGCAGCTGGAATTGATGGGATCATGACAGAAATGTTAAAAGCAGGGGGGGATATAGTGTTGGAATGGTTGGTACTTTTGTTTAATAAATGTATGAAAGAGGGGAAGGTACCTAGGGATTGGCGGAGAGCATGTCTAGTCCCTTTATATAAAGGGAAAGGGGACAAAAGAGATTGTAAAAATTATAGAGGAATAAGTTTACTGAGTATACCAGGAAAAGTATACGTAGAGTTATAATTGAAAGAATTAGAGGTAAGACAGAATGTAGAATTGCGGATGAGCAAGGAGGTTTCAGAGTGGGTAGAGGATGTGTAGATCAAGTGTTTACATTGAAGCATATATGTGAACAGTATTTAGATAAAGGTAGGGAAGTTTTTATTGCATTTATGGATTTAGAAAAGGCACATGATAGAGTGGATAGAGGAGCAATGTGGCAGATGTTGCAAGTTTATGGAATAGGTGGTAAGTTACTAAATGCTGTAAAGAGCTTTTATGAGAATAGTGAGGCTCAGGTTAGGGTGTGTAGAAGAGAGGGAGAATACTTCCCGGTAAAAGTAGGTCTTAGACAGGGATGTGTAATGTCACCATGGTTGTTTTAATATATTTATAGATGGGGTTGTAAAAGAAGTAAATGCTAGGGTGTTCGGGAGAGGGGTGGGATTAAATTATGGGGAATCAAATTCAAAATGGGAATTGACACAGTTACTTTTTGCTGATGATACTGTGCTTATGGGAGATTCTAAAGAAAAATTGCTAAGGTTAGTGGATGAGTTTGAGAATGTGTGTAAAGGTAGAAAGTTGAAAGTGAACATAGAAAAGAGTAAGGTGATGAGGGTATCAAATGATTTAGATAAAGAAAAAATGGATATCAAATTGGGGAGGAGGAGTATGGAAGAAGTGAATGTTTTCAGATACTTGGGAGTTGACGTGTCGGCGGATGGATTTATGAAGGATGAGGTTAATCATAGAATTGATGAGGGAAAAAAGGTGAGTGGTGCGTTGAGGTATATGTGGAGTCAAAAAACGTTATCTATGGAGGCAAAGAAGGGAATGTATGAAAGTATAGTAGTACCAACACTCTTATATGGATGTGAAGCTTGGGTGGTAAAAGCAGCAGCGAGGAGACGGTTGGAGGCAGTGGAGATGTCCTGTCTAAGGGCAATGTGTGGTGTAAATATTATGCAGAAAATTCGGAGTGTGGAAATTAGGAGAAGGTGTGGAGTTAATAAAAGCATTAGTCAGAGGGCACAAGAGGGGTTGTTGAGGTGGTTTGGTCATTTAGAGAGAATGGATCAAAGTAGAATGACATGGAAAGCATATAAATCTATAGGGGAAGGAAAGAGGGGTAGGGGTCGTCCTCGAAAGGGTTGGAAAGAGGGGGTAAAGGAGGTTTTGTGGGCGAGGGGCTTGGACTTCCAGCAAGCGTGCATGAGCGTGTTAGATAGGAGTGAATGGAGACGAATGATACTTGGGACCTGACGATCTGTTGGAGTGTGAGCAGGGTAATATTTAGTGAAGGGATTCAGGGAAACCGGTTATTTTCATATAGTCGGACTTGAGTCCTGGAAATGGAAGTACAATGCCTGCACTTTAAAGGAGGGGTTTGGGGTATTGGCAGTTTGGAGGGATATGTTGTGTATCTTTATACGTATATGCTTCTAAACTGTTGTATTCTGAGCACCTCTGCAAAAGCAGTGATAATGTGTGAGTGTGGTGAAAGTGTTGAATGATGATGAAAGTATTTTCTTTTTGGGGATTTTCTTTCTTTTTTGGGTCACCCTGCCTTGGTGGGAGACGACCGACTTGTTGAAAAAAAAAAAAAAAAATATATGACAGGGTGGATAGAGGAACAATGTGGCAGATGCTGCAAATGTATGGAATAGGAGGTAGGTTATTGAAAGCGGTGAAAAGTTTTTACGAGGATAGTGAGGCTTAGGTTAGAGTATGTAGGAGGGAGATTATTTCCCAGTAAAAGTAGGCCTTAGACAAGGATGTGTGATGTCACTATGGTTGTTCAGTATATTTATAGATGGGGTTGTAAGAGAAGTACTTGCTTGGGTGTTGGCGAGAGGTTTGGAGCTAAAAGATAAAGAATCTGACACAAAGTGGGAGTTGTCACAATTGCTCTTTGCTGATAACACTGCTTTTGGGAGATTCTGAAGAGAAGTTGCAGAGGTTGGTGGATGAGTTTGGTAGGGTATGTAAAAGAAGAAAATTGAAAGTGAATATAGGAAACAGTAAGGTGATGATGATAAAAAATTAGGTAACGAAAGATTGGGTATCAGGTTGGAGGGAGAGAGTATGGATGAGTTGAATGTATTCAGATATTCAGGAGTGAACATATCAGCAGATGGGTCTATGAAAGATGAAGTGAATCATAGAATTGACGAGGGGAAAAAGGTGAGTGGTGCACTGAGGAGTCAAAGAACTTTATCCATGGAAGCAAAGAGAGGAATGTATGAGAGTATAGCTATACCAATGCTCTTATGTGAGTGTGAAGCATGTGTGGTGAATGTTGCAACAAGGAGAAGGCTGGAGGCAGTGGAGATGTCAAGCCTGAGGGCAATGTGTGGTGTGAATGTAATGCAGAGAATTTGTAGTTTGGAAATTAGGAGGTGCAAGATTACCAATACTATTATCCAGAAGGCTGAGGAGGGGTTGTTGAGGTCGTTTGGACATGTAGAGAGGATGGAACAAAATACAATGACTTTGAGGGTGTATAAATCTGTAGTGGAGGGAAGGTGGGATTGAGGTCGGCCTGGGAAAGGTTTGAGGGAGGGAGTAAAGGCTTTGTGTACGAGGGGCTTGGACTTCCAGCAAGCATACGTGAGCATGTTAGATAGGAGCGAATGGAGACAAATTGTTTTTAGGACTTGACGTGCTGTTGGAGTGTGAGCAGGGTAATATTTATGAAGGGATTCAGGGAAACCAGCAGGCCGGACTTGAGTCCTGGAGATGAGAAGTACAGTGCCTGCACTCTGAAGGAGGGGCATTAATGTTGCAGTTTTATAATTGTAGTATAAACGTGCCTTTGGCAAGACAGAAATGGAGTGAATGATGGTGAAAGTTTTTCTTTTTCGGGCCACCCTACCTTGATGGGAAATGGCCAATGTGTTAATAATAATAAAAATAAAATAATATTTGTAGTGTTATAATTTCATTTTTTACTCCTTTTTACTTTTTTCAGGAAATTCATCATGCACTGCCCCAGTGCTAATTGATGAAGATGAAGATATTGATACACCTCTTGGTGCATGTGCTAGTTGTGGCTATAACCTCTTTAGCAGTGACACGAGGAAGGAATATTGCAGCATTGCCAGGTATTGTCGAGAACAACTGGAAATGATGAAAGATAAATATTGTATCCTTTTGTAAAATATATATACAGTGGAACCTTGGTATACGAGCATCTCCCTATTCGAACAAAGCTCAGCACTCGACCAAACAAATACAACCTGCTAGAACTTCGCTGTAAACTATTTCGTGTTTCTTCGCATTTTTTTTTTTATAAATAAGTCGCCATGGGGCCTACGAAGATTAGTAATAACAGCCAACCAAACAGAAAATTGGTTGGGAAGAACTTGTTCGATACTCAAATGGAGCGGCACTCGAACAGCCTTCTGAAATGAATTAAGGTCGCATACCGAGGTTCCACTGTACAGTATATGCAGACAAGTGGTTTTAATTGATGTGCTGTTAGAGTGTGAGCAAGGTAATATTTATGAAGGAATTCAGGGAAACAGGTTAGTCAGACTTGAGGAGGAGCAGGAATGTTACAGTTGGAGGGTGATATGAATTGTAATGTCAGCATAATTCTGGCAAGAGTGAATGAATTTCCTTCTTTGGGTCACCCTGCCTTGGTGGAAGATGGTTGTTGAGGTTAAAAGAAAAAATTATATATATAATTGTGTGGGGGGAGGGGGATGCCTGCGTGAGTGTATGCAAATAAACTTTTAACATTTGTGTATAATCTTGGTCCTTAACTCTTTCAAAAAGATGTTGATGTTTGCCAGAAAGCACTTGAGTTGCAAGGAAACCTGTTTTATAAGCTGAATATACTACGAGTAAAGCTTCTAGATGCTGCTTTTGAAGCTTCTATTAGTGTTGAAAATTGGAATACTGCACTGGAGTACGGCGTACAAAATATTGAAGGAGTCAAGTAAGTTGATTCACATTTTCAAGATCATTAATATGATTTATTTCACTCTATAGATGTGTGTCACTTGGCAGGAACAAGCAGATTAACTCTCTCTCTTTCCTGTCTTCTCTGGATATAAGTACACGTATACTGTACAGCCTCTCCTCACTTAGCGACATATTCGTTTACCGACAACTCGGACTTACGACGGACTCTCTGACCAGTATGCATACATAAATAATGTATATTAGAGCTGATTTTCTCTGTTCTGTTTATTACACTATATACAGTACACTACTGCATAAACATTTAAAAATTTTATAAATGGTGCAAAGTGACATTAAAACAACATCAAAGATGGTTGACACAAACCCACTACCATTATAGTATGCTCCTTGCTTAGCGACAAATTCGTTTACCGACGTGGTCTTAGGAACGGAACTCCGTCGTTAAGTGAGGCGATGCTGTATTCATGTGTATTTGCCAAGAATATTAAACCATTTTTGCAGTAGAATAAATGCTCAATGCCATGTTTGAATGCTTTGGAAAAGTGGCCTAATACTTTTGAACGAGTTGTGTTCTTGGTTTTTCAACATACAAATGAGGTTTTTGCTTTGAAAATAATAGTATAAAGGAGGGTTATAGTACATGTTTGTACTGCAGTTCAGCAATTGTAAAGGTTTTATTTATTTTGGTTGTTAGTAACTTTAGGTATTCATACGTTAGTGACCTCCTGTATTTAGCAATTTACATTAGTAGTAGCTACTGTCATTTGACTGAAGTAGTGTACAGAGCGTGCTCAACTGTTGCACATGTCTTACTCATCTACTTGTTGGTACTGTATACTGATAAGTATACTTTTGTATAATGGTCTGTAGTTTTGTATACTAGTCTGGTAGTGAAATAGTTATTTATAGCCAGAAGGGTCTCAGCCCTGATGTCTGTCATATTCTTTATTGGTTTCAAGGATCATCACCCCTGTAAGCCAGTCTTAGAGCTGGCCTCCTAATTTGAAAAGGAAATATTACAGTAGTAAGAACTATTAAGAAACAGGAATGGTAAGTGCATATTGAATGTAGGTAGAAGTTTGAGACATTTGCTTCTCACTTGATATGTCATTTATTGTTGTGCTATAATCTTGCAGCCTCACATACATTGGAGTATAAGGGGTTAAGTGTATGCCACTATGAGAGTATAGATTTTTGAGGACCTGCTATACCAAACTGCCTAATAATTAACTATCTTAAAATTTATACAATTGTGTAATCATCATGTTTACTTATCTTTTAGCTTAGATTTTTGAAGCACATCTTGTCCTTAACAATTATTATAATCATATGGGTTATTGAGCCTCTTTCTCAAGAAGAATAAAGTTAGATTTTACTGAAAGTACTGCATAGTGATTTGATATTTATATACAGTACGTACTGGATGTGGAATGTACAATGCCTGCACTTTAAAGGAGGGAATTGGGATATTGGCTGTTTGGAGTGACATCTGAGTGCCTCTGCAAAAACAGTGATTATGTATGAATGATGGTGAAAGTGTTGAATGATGAAAGTTTTTTCTTTCTCTTTGGGTCACCCTGTCTCAGTGGGAAATGACTGATGTGTTAAAAAAAATTATTAACACATTGGCCATCTCCCACCAAGGCAGGGTGGCCCCCCAAAAAAAAAAACTTTCATCATTCACTCCATCACTGTCTTGCCAGAGGTGCACTTACACAACAGTTATAAAACTGCAACATTAACACCTCTCCTTCAGAGTGCAGACACTGTACTTCCCATCTCCAGGACTCAAGTCCAGCCTGCCGGTTTCCCTTCATTAATGTTACCTTGGTTACACTCGACTTGTTGTTAGTCCTAAAAACCATTTGTCTCCATTCTTTATCTAAAGCTCATGTGCTTGCTGGAGTCCAAGTCCTCCTCAAGAACTCTTTACCTCCTCCAATCATTCTAGCTACCCTACCTACTTCCCTCCACTCAGATTTATACCTGAAGCCCATTGTATTCATTCCGTTCTCTATACAGTCCAAACCATCTCAGTACCCTCCCTCCCATCTGATAATACACTGGCCCCCGCTAACGATCACCTCCAATGCGACCAATTATTAAGTGTATTTATTAAGTGCGATGTAGTGTATTTTGGGTCTGAATGGACATCTACTTCACAATATCTTATGGGAAAAAATTCGGTCAGTAATGGCACCTGAACTACTACTGGAATGAAAAAAGGTCGTTAACCGGGGGTCCACTGTAGTTTTGGTAATCCCACACCTGATCTCCAAACTACGGATTCTCTGCATTATATTCACAACACGCATTCCCCTCAGACATGACATCTCCACTGCCTCCAGCCTTCTCCTTGTTGTAACATTCACAACCCATACAGGAGCATTGGTATAACTATACTCTCATATATTCCCTCTTTGCTTTCATGGATAAAGTTCTTCATTATTTACCAGTCAATTAATTCTCTTAAGACACTTAACTTCTGGTTCTACTTTGATTTTACATATAGCAATTAACACTTATAAATTTCAGATTTTACTATGGAGAAAATCATCCAAACATTGGGCTGATACTTCTGAAAATAGGCAAGATTTGCAATTATCTACGTAAATTACAAGATGCTGTAAGCTACTTAACAGCAGCAGAACCCATAATACGAATAAGTCATGGAACATCGCATCCAACGTACAAGGAACTAACATCTCTAATTCAGCAATCTAATGAGGAGCTCATGTATATTTTACAGAAGAAGAAGAGATTAAGTAATATTTATGTGGTGAGCTGAGTGTGTACTTTTTATTTTATTTTAAGTACATTCTAATAAGAGCATAATAAAAAGTTTTAATTTATTTTGCTGTAGATTTAAAATACGTTGTACATTATTTTGTAATACTGCATTGTTTTTATGGTAGACTAATGAGAAATATTTTACAGGTGCATGCAAGAGTATGGTAGTACAAAGACACAGCAGGGCTATCCTTACTTGGACATTTCAATGACAGGTGAACTTTTTTTTTTTGTCATACAAAGGAACTTAGAAACAACACATAAATTATCCATCCAGTGAGGGGTAAAGAGTTTAGGTCAGGTATTGAAGTGCTGGGAAAAGTGGGTGAGGACCTCAACTGGGTAAATGCAAGTGTCTGTCCATGCATGATGAGTTGCATTGAAGAGGTAGCATGTTTATTATATAATTTTGAAAAAATATAGATGGATTAATGAAAATGTTTATATTAACATAATATATGACATTTAATGTGCCTCAGAGTGATTATTATTATCATTAATATGGCATCTTCAAGACTAATAAGACACTCTTAGTGATTTTAGTGTGTACCTGCATGCCAGCACAGTGTGTAAGTTTACTTAGGTACACATAAGTATAATTATCAGAGTATATATAAAATTCCCTGTATGAAAAATACAGAGTGCAACATATACTCAAAAACCCTAGAGAAAACAAAGAAACATGTTTTATTTTTACCTCAAGAACATCAGCCACCAATGGTACAAAGGTGGCCATTTTGACATCCAAAACCATTTGTGATCTAACTAGACCCAACATTCCAAGCCAAACTTACATCAAAGATGGAGTCTAAACCATCCTGTGTACAGAATGTGACTAAAGCTTCATGAAGGAAATGGCATGAGACGTGAGGACTCGTGCAGAACTTTCGTCAACAATGCATGTGTATCTCTTGTCCTGGAATGATACGGGACTCAAGGAACAAGGATGCTTGGAAAAAACATTTAAAAAATAATATAGAAATTCAGGACACCTCAACATCATTAAATCTTAAGTGTAACTCATCCTGCATGTAGCCAGGGAAGGTTCCTAAAAATCTCTACATCTCACTTGAAAGTACGTACAGTGGTACCTCGGAATATGAACTTAATTCGTTCCAGAGGCGATTCCGAACGAATTTGTTCCTTTAAGGAATACTGTAAATTAGAGTAATCCGTTTCAGACCCCCCCCCCCAAATACACTTACATAATTGTTCGAGTTTTGAACTGTTTGTATCCCGAGGTACCACTGTATAGGTGATTTATAAGTTCCTGTGTGTGACTTACAAAAAGTTTATCCATGAGGAAACAGCCAAGTAAAACCTTGTGCTGTTATAAGTGCATTTGTTCTATCATACTTAGTAACTTAAGCCTTTCTAATCCTGTGATATTTCAATCCTTGGACTAATAAAAAATTACAGCAAGAATCTTTTATTTATACATCTCGCCCTGTACTGTAAAGCACAGGGTAATTAATTACACTTAAATGAAGTTCCTCCTGCACAGTGGGCTTGATCAGGTCAAATGAGAAGACAGGTACAAATCAAGTTGAAGCATAGGGTGAGGGACCACTGCAGGACCCTTGGTTAGCTTCCAAGTATGATGCAAGCTACTTTATTTCATTATGTTAGCAGTGCTGATAAAGATAGATGTCTAAATCTGCTCTTACCTCTTTGAGACTATTAGTCATGATATAATACATATGCATTTTTTATATTAAAAGTTCTGCAGGCATACTAGTGTTCTTTGACCCATGAGACAGTGTTTCCTAAAGTTTTGCATATATAATGCTTGTTGCATTCATTAAAAGGAATAATGTAGACGCTTTTTCTGTATCGCAGTGGCTGTTTGGCTCTACTAAGGCCTTTGATGATAGCAACAGTGTGCTTCTGGACATTTTAGTAAGGCTAATGGTAACACTGCAGGTGGGAAAAATTATATACCTTTCAATTGTTTTGGCTGTAGTCACAGTTTAAAGTATTCTTATATGAAGAAAGCTGGGAAGTGGAACTTGGAAAAGATGCTAACGACAATAACGTTATCATACACAGGTGATTATATTTAGAGGGAAGTGCTTAACCCATAATGGCCATACAGTAATTGGGCAATGGGATGCGATCAGGTTCAATTACCTGAATCAAGAGCCCTTCACCAAAATTAATCAACATGACGTTATCCACTTCATGTCATACCAAAAGAGGGGTTCTGATAGCTTTGTTCAGAGAATAGAGGGTATGTTGCAGTTTCTAGAAGTGTGTGATGTCAAAGACATCTTTTCCAAGCTCCGCTTCCCATCTTTCTTTATACATGACTTCAGAAAAAGAAACTGACAGGTACATCAATTATTCCACTTGTAGTTTTCCCATTATGTCACCAACACACCATCATGAAGCAAAACATCATAGTCATCATTTGCACTATCATCAAGGACCTTACAAGAGGCAAACAGCCACCATGATAGAGAAAAAGTGGGAGTTTATATTTCTTGCAACAAATGTTATACAGTGGTACCCCGAGTTTTGAACTGCTCCCAACTTGACCAATTACGTAAGTATATTTTTGGGGGTCTGAAATGGACTAATCTAATTTACATTATTCATTCAGTAACGGCACTTAAACAGCCTTCTAGAACGAAGAATGTTCGAAACTCGGGGTACCACTGTATAGGACAACTCGCAAGATATTGTCATATGAGTTAAAAATCACTAATATGTCTGGAGAACACAAAAACAATGTTTAATACATCAAGACACTAACAATTACCTCAAAAATTGAACAAATGCTAATACAGTTATCACAGAAAGCCAGAAATTGCCTAGATTCTGTCCTCATCAGCACCAGGGCAGCTTTGTGTTAACTATGCCAACTTACTTGCAAGTTACCTAGGTATAGGTATATGAGAGAAGATATAAGAGTCTGGTGTACACCTCAGAGATACTCTCCTACACCATAACTTTTTTTATACCTGTATATATACTCATGTATTCGCAACTGACTTGATAAAGCCCATTATGGTATATGGGCAAATTTTTTTTTTTTTTTTTTTTTTCTCAACAAGTTGGTCGTCTCCCACCGAGGCAGGGTGACCCAAAAAAGAAAGAAAATCCCCAAAAAGAAAATACTTTCATCATTCAACACTTTCACCACACTCACACATTATCACTGCTTTTGCAGAGGTGCTCAGAATACAACAGTTTAGAAGCATATACGTATAAAGATACACAACATATCCCTCCAAACTGCCAATATCCCAAACCCCTCCTTTAAAGTGCAGGCATTGTACTTCCCATTTCCAGGACTCAAGTCCGACTATAAGAAAATAACCGGTTTCCCTGAATCCCTTCACTAAATATTACCCTGCTCACACTCCAACAGATCGTCAGTCCCAAGTATCATTCGTCTCCATTCACTCCTATCTAACACGCTCATGCACGCTTGCTGGAAGTCCAAGCCCTCGCCCACAAAACCTCCTTTACCCCTCTTTCCAACCCTTTCGAGGACGACCCCTACCCCTCTTTCCTTCCCCTATAGATTTATATGCTTTCCATGTCATTCTACTTTGATCCATTCTCTCTAATGACCAAACCACCTCAACAACCCCTCTTCTGCCCTCTGACTAATGCTTTTATTAACTCCACACCTTCTCCTAATTTCCACACTCCGAATTTTCTGCTAATATTTACACCACCATTGCCCTTAGACAGGACATCTCACTGCCTCCAACCGTCTCCTCGCTGCTGCATTTACCACCCAAGCTTCACATCCATATAAGAGTGTTGGTACTACTATACTTTCATACATTCCCTTCTTTGCCTCCATAGATAACGTTTTTTGACTCCACATATACCTCAACGCACCACTCACCTTTTTTCCCTCATCAATTCTATGATTAACCTCATCCTTCATAATCCATCCGCCGACACATCAACTCCCAAGTATCTGAAAACATTCACTTCTTCCATACTCCTCCTCCCCAATTTGATATCCAATTTTTCTTTATCTAAATCATTTGATACCCTCATCACCTTACTTTTTTCTATGTTCACTTTCAACTTTCTACCTTTACACACATTCTCAAACTCATCCACTAACCTTTGCAATTTTTCTTTAGAATCTGCCATAAGCACAGTATCATCAGCAAAAAGTAACTGTGTCAATTCCCATTTTGAATTTGATTCCCCATAATTTAATCCCACCCCTCTCCCGAACACCCTAGCATTTACTTCTTTTACAACCCATCTATAAATATATTAAACAACCATGGTGACATTACACATCCCTGTCTAAGACCTACTTTTACGGGAAGTATTCTCCCTCTCTTCTACACACCCTAACCTGAGCCTCACTATCCTCATAAAAGCTCTTTACAGCATTTAGTAACTTACCACCTATTCCATAAACTTGCAACATCTGCCACATTGCTCCTCTATCCACTCTATCATATGCCTTTTCTAAATCCATAAATGCAATAAAAACTTCCCTACCTTTATCTAAATACTGTTCACATATATGCTTCAATGTAAACACTTGATCTACACATCCCCTACCCACTCTGAAGCCTCCTTGCTCATCCGCAATTCTACATCTGTCTTACCTCTAATTCTTTCAATTATAACTCTACCGTATACTTTTCCTGGTATACTCAGTAAACTTATTCCTCTATAATTTTTACAATCTCTTTTGTCCCCTTTCCCTTTATATAAAGGGACTATACATGCTCTCTGCCAATCCCTAGGTACCTTCCCCTCTTTCATACATTTATTAAACAAAAGTACCAACCACTCCAACACTATATATCCCCCCCTGCTTTTAACATTTCTGTCATGATCCCATCAGTTCCAGCTGCTTTACCCCCTTTCATTCTACGTAATGCCTCACGTACCTCACCACACTTACATTCTGCTCTTCTTCACTCCTAAAAGATGGTATACCTCCCTGGCCAGTGCATGAAATTACCGCCTCCCTTTCTTCCTCAACATTTAAAAGTACCTCAAAATATTCTCACCATCTACCTAATACCTCCCTCTCCCCATCTACTAACTCCCCTACTCTGTTTTTAACGGACAAATCCATACTTTCCCTAGGCTTTCTTAACTTGTTTAACTCACTCCAAAATTTTTTCTTATTTTCATTAAAATTTCTTGACAGTGCCTCTCCCACTCTTTCATCTGCTCTCCTTTTGCACTCTCTCACCACTCTCTTCACCTTTCTTTTACTCTCCATATACTCTGCTCTTCTTATAACACTTCTGCTTTGTAAAAACCTCTCGTAAGCTACCTTTTTCTCTTTTATCACACCCTTTACTTCATCATTCCACCAATCACTCCTCTTTCCTCCTGCCCCCACCCTCCTATAACCACAAACTTCTGCCCCACATTCTAATACTGCATTTTTAAAACTATTCCAACCCTCTTCAACCCCCCCACTACTCATCTTTGCACTAGCCCACCTTTCTGCCAATAGTCGCTTATATCTCGCCCGAACTTCCTCCTCCCTTAGTTTATACACTTTCACCTCCCTCTTACTTGTTGTTGCCACCTTCCTCTTTTCCCATCTACCTCTTATTCTAACTGTAGCTACAACTAAATAATGATCTGATATATCAGTTGCCCCTCTATAAACATGTACATCCTGGAGCCTACCCATCAACCTTTTATCCACCAATACATAATCTAACAAACTACTTTCATTACGTGCTACATCATACCTTGTATATTTATTTATCCTCTTTTTCATAAAATATGTATTACTTATTACCAAATTTCTTTCTACACATAGCTCAATTAAAGGCTCCCCATTTACATTTACCCCTGGCACCCCAAATTTACCTACTACTCCCTCCATAACATTTTTACCCACTTTAGCATTGAAATCCCCAACCACCATTACTCTCACACTTGATTCAAAACTCCCCACGCATTCACTCATTAATAAAAGTATGCACTGCAGTTAGGTGTCATTTACAATACCTTGTTGGTACATACATACCATTCCAGTTAGGTGATGGTCAGGAATGGCGGCAACATGCGATGGTAAGGTCTGAATCTAGAAGTCATGCAAAGGTGAGGTTTGGATCTAGGAATCAGGTCATGGTATTCTGTGGTTTTATTGTCGACTGAAGATTTGTGGAGTTGGTTTCAAGAGTGAATAGTGGCAGCATTTAGACACCTTTGTTTGGTCTTGACATTTTTCTTTATATTAGATGTGCCTGATTCTAATTCGTGATGTAGGAATGCAAGCTGCAGTGTGTCACACACATTGCATTTGTCATTAATTTTGCAATAAAAATGAAGATAATGGAGTAGATAACACATTCTTGGGCATTTTTTCCCCCATCAACAATTTTTTTGCTCCAGTTTATGCCCTTCACTAATAGCCAAGACAAAAATATGAGCCCCCACCATTTTTTTAAATACTGTAACTATACAATGTTTAGCAATACTGCAGAAACTGAATTACACATTATGCTTTTATATTTTGTGCTACAGCATTGTTAATCTCTGTAACCATGCTAGCTGGTGAGGGCTCCTTATTCAAGGAATTATTATTATCCCTTTTTGTAGACTGAACCTGATTTTTTCATATTCCCTCAAGTGCTGTATGTCCCCACGTTGGCTGTCTCAGACAAAGGCAGGGTGACCCAAGAAAGAAAGAAAAAACTTTCATCATCATTCAACATTTTCACCATCATTCATACATAATCACTGTCTTTGCAAAGGCACTCAGATATAACAAAGCAATTCAGTTTACCAAGACAAAAGAGTACAGTACTGAAAGGCAGATTTAAAAATGTATTTTCAAGATGCCATCTTGTTGAATAGACCCTTATGCACAACGTTCCAAACATGAATCTTAATCCTAGTTGTATTTCAGTAAATGCCTGCCTTTCTCAATACTTATACATTGCTAAATGCTCTAATTTTCAGAACACTTGTACCTTGACTAACTGACCTTTGTCTTCTCACCTTTTCTTTTGACCTGACTCTGTAATGCCTTTATTGTCTTCTGATCTTCTCTTTACTTTCTGCTTTCTTTCCTATCATGGGCCACTAGGTTGATTGTAATGCTCCCTCGTAAGCAATCCTTTAGTAGTTGTGCTACAGGGTTTAGTTACCTGCTTATCTATCCCTGGCATGTAGGTATCCTTATTACTAATTTTACTACTACTACTCCCTTCTTTCCTCCCACTTCCCAATCTGTCTTCTGTTATTCAAGGATTTTTCTCAGTTATGACCTAGTAATGGTCCTGGATGGATGGAAGCATTGTCTAAGGATTCCTGTGTAGGTGTAGTAGGTTACTTGTGGAGTGTATTGTGATAAGAGTTTGTGTTATATTATTATATTTATGGGAAGTGCTAACCTGCTTGTGTGACAAATAGCTGTTGTTATAAGAGGCTGGCAAATAACACAGAGATTACTAGAGAATTAAAATAATAGTGGAGTTGAATACACTTTATGAATGTTCAAATCAGAAATGAAATAGTTCTGTCAGCATTGGGCTTATGACTATAAGAGATGGGTATCCTTTTGAGTTATGAAAGTGAAATGTAGATGTGATGGTAAACATATTCCTCTAAAATTGTAGTTTGAAATTTAATCTTTGGAGGAATGTATATGCTATGTATATTAGATATGAACTTCTCATAAGGGGTGCTATGAAGATGAACTCTTAATTCAAGGAATTGGAGTTGCCCTCCCTTTTATTGGATCAACTTTGGTTGCTCTCCATTCCCAGATGCTGTACTTTCCTTAAGGATTTAGTGATTCCCTGAAGTAAAATAATTATATAAGAAGGCTTTAAGCTTTGAAATGCGAGATGGCAAAGAGAGACACGTTAACACACAGAACGGAATAAATAAATTAAAACTATTACCACGTACAGAGGATGATGCATGGTAGGATTCAGAGAGTGTCACAAAGGAGATTAGAGTGGAGGTAAGGTGCCTAGCATTCTGGAAGGTAAAAGTGAATGAGTACTCTGTTATCATTCATATGAGGACAAAAATAAAGTAACAGCCAAGGAAGACATGAGTAGGCAAGTTGCCTGGAAATTTGTATTCCAGGGACATTGGTCTAACATTTGTGCTGGTAGATTACAGGTGGCAAATAAGAATTTCTTAGGAGATGGGTATGAGTATTTAGGCAAGAATGGATCAGTACAATTGCTGTGAGAGTACATTAAAGTTATAAGTAGTTTCGAATTAAAGATCTTGAAAGGTTCACTTAAGAGCATTTATTATTGTTATGTAAAGAAACATAAATCATAGTTTTAAGTAGGTATATGATTTTAAGCATTTATGTACAGGAAGAAAATGTTATAAATCAATTAAAAAATGAAGAAATAGTTCATCTACCTTATTTAACAAAATTATTTTAACTGTACTAGAATTTGTTCATTGAAATCGTTGAAAAATTAAAAGCTCTTATTACATATTTATGAATATCTTTAAAGAATTTCACCATGGTCTATGTCATAGGTTTGCAGAACCTCTTGTGGCTAAATAACGACTGGCACTGGAAGCTAAGACTTGGTCACCTGGTTGCTGTACTGCGGCTGTAGTCTCCCTTTTTCATGAGCAGCTCCTTGCCTCTCCTCAACTGATACTATATTCTGTTGTCACTCTTGTTGAAAGTTTTATTTTCTGAAAGACAATGATTAGTCATTATTATTTCATGTAAAAATTATTTATCCTGTAAATATACAAATATACTGTGTAATACAACAAACATTACATATTAAATAAAACTTGTAATTTTTTATTAATTGGCAATTTCAAATGAAAAAAAAATAATATTTTGATTTGAAAGTACTGTACAATTTTGTGTGTACAAGACTATATTAAGTGGCATAAACAGTGTACAACTGCATATAACAAAAATAATATATGTACAACTATGTGAAGTACGTATGTAGCAGAAACAACATTCAACTACGTATGTATATGGCAAAAACAATATTAAACGGTAAAACCTTGATTTAATGGATATAAAAAAAAATCCACTGAGTATAGACTAATTTGCTTTTGTTATTATATTTATGATTTTCCTAAGGATGAATTATAAAAATTTTCTCAGTGTATTACTAAATGCATTAATACTCTTTATCAGGCTGTTTTTCCCTATTAGTCTGCCAGAACAAAGTATGTTGCAGGAATAATATACAGTTATACATTTGGCAGGAACATTGTACAACTATGTGTATGGCAGGAACAATATACAACTGCTGTATGTATATAGCAGTAGCAATGTAGAACTCTGCACAGTAGTTCCCTCACTTGTGATGCTCTGCAGTTACAACAATGGCACTCTGGAACCAATTAATGACTTATAAACACTGATAAGTAGTTTTATGTACTAGGATTAGTTAGCCTGAAATGCCCCAGCATCATAGTGACTTTCTTTGTACTTAACAAATCAAAATTGTAATTACACATTGTAACCTTTGCAAAGAAATAAAATCTTAAATCTTTTGTTGTGCAGTTATTATTAATGCACAAATTAAAAAAAATATATTTTCAGTAGTTTTTTCTTGGCTATTTTGCAACCAAATGTATTCATATTTTGCATATGTTGATTGTATGTGTGAAGAGTTTGTTTGTTTGATAGCAACCTGTGTAACCTGTAAATTTATTATAGTTTTGTTGAAGCTAAATTATACTTATTATTTTTTTTTTTTTTTTTTTATCAAATGTATTAATATTTTGTGTACATATATTCATGTTATGCATATATGTTGGGCTTATATTTATTTGGTAAAGGTTGGTCAAGAACTGTATATACATACTTTTTTTTTTGGGGGGGGGGGGGGGTGGCAGGATAACCCAAGAAAGTCAGTGCATCATCAAGGACTGTCTTGTCTTATTTCCATGGGGTCTTGCAATTTTGTCCCCAGGATGAAACCCCACCCCCAACTAACACCAAGTATACTTGCTGCTAGGTGAACAGGTACAGCAGGTGTAAGGAAACATGCCTAATGTTTCTACCCAGCCTGGGATTGAACCACAGACACTCAGTGTGTGAAGCGAGGGGCGTTGCCTACAAAGCCACATAGGTGGATAGTAACCCCTGCACCCCCAGCTTGGTGTAAGGTGGAAATGTTTTTGGGAGTTGAAGAGCAATGGGAGGAGGGGAGGGGAGAGAGGAAAGTTGTGTCAGATACAAAGGAGATAGGGAGGAAATGCGGGGGAGGGGGAAGGAAAGGGAAAAAAAGAAGGACCCTCGGTATTGGTTGTTGTTTTTTTTTTATTTTAAAAAAAAATTAGAAATGATGCAGGAGGGGAAAAGGGATATGGAGGGAAAAAAGGAGAGGTTTTAAAAGAGTTGGTGAAGCAATGTAAAAAGAGAGCAAATGAGAGAGTGGGTGAGTGTTTTCCAAAAATTTTTTTTGAAAATAGAAAAAAATTTTGGAGTGAGATTTCAATTAAGAAGCTGGAACAAATGGTTTGTCAGTTAAAAAATAGGAGGGGAGAGTTATTAAAAGGAGAGTTGAGGTATTGGAAGAGGGGGTTTTTGGGAATTGTTAATGTTGATGAAGATGGGAAGCTTTTGATTTCGTGTATAGGGCAAGGAGGAATAACATCTTGTAGGAGTGAGGAAGAGCCAGTTGTGTGTGTGGGGGAAGTTCGTGAGGCAGTAGGTAAGATGAAAGGGGTAAGGCAGCTGGGATTGATGGGATAAAGATAGAAATGTTAAAAGCAGGTGGGGATATAGTTTTGGAGTGGTTGGTGCAATTATTTAATAAATGTATGGAAGAGGGTAAGGTACCTAGGGATTGGCAGAGAGCATGCATAGTTCCTTTGTATAAAGGCAAAGGGGATAAAAGAGAGTGCAAAAATTATAGGGGATAAGTCTGTTGATTGTACCTGGTAAAGTGTATGGTAGAGTTATAATTGAAAGAATTAAGAGTAAGACGGAGAATAGGATAGAAAGATGAACAGGAGGCTTTAGGAAAGGTAGGGGGTGTGTGGACCAGGTGTTTTACAGTGAAACATATAAGTGAACAGTATTTAGATAAGGCTAAAGAGGTCTTTGTGGCATTTATGGATTTGGAAAAGGCGTATGACAGGGTGGATAGGGGGGCAATGTGGCAGATGTTGCAAGTGTTTGGTGTAGGAGGTAGGTTACTGAAAGCAGTGAAGAGTTTTTATGAGGATAGTGAGGCTCAAGTTAGAGTAGTAGGAAAGAGGGAAATTTTTTCCCAGTAAAAGTAGGCCTTAGACAAGGATGTGTGATGTCACCGTGGTTGTTTAATATATTTAATAGATGGGGTTGTAAGAGAAGTAAATGCGAGGGTCTTGGCAAGAGGCGTGGAGTTAAAAGATAAAGAATCACACACAAAGTGGGAGTTGTCACAGCTGCTCTTTGCTGATGACACTGTGCTCTTGGGAGATTCTGAAGAGAAGTTGCAGAGATTGGTGGATGAATTTGTAGGGTGTGCAAAAGAAGAAAATTAAAGGTGAATACAGGAAAGAGTAAGGTTATGAGGATAACAAAAAGATTAGGTGATGAAAGATTGAATATCAGATTGGAGGGAGAGAGTATGGAGGAGGTGAACGTATTCAGATATTTGGGAGTGGACGTGTCAGCAGATGGGTCTATGAAAGATGAGGTGAATCATAGAATTGATGAGGGAAAAAGAGTGAGTGGTGCACTTAGGAGTCTGTGGAGACAAAGAACTTTGTCCTTGGAGGCAAAGAGGGGAATGTATGAGAGTATAGTTTTACCAACGCTCTTATATGGGTGTGAAGCGTGGGTGATGAATGTTGCAGCGAGGAGAAGGCTGGAGGCAGTGGAGATGTCATGTCTGAGGGCAATGTGTGGTGTGAATATAATGCAGAGAATTCGTAGTTTGGAAGTTAGGAGGAGGTGCGGGATTACCAAAACTGTTGTCCAGAGGGCTGAGGAAGGGTTGTTGAGGTGGTTCGGACATGTAGAGAGAATGGAGCGAAACAGAATGACTTCAAGAGTGTATCAGTCTGTAGTGAAAGGAAGGCGGGGTAGGGGTCGGCCTAAGGAAAGGTTGGAGGGAGGGGGTAAAGGAGGTTTTGTGTGCGAGGGGCTTGGACTTCCAGCAGGCATGCATGAGCGTGTTTGATAGGAGTGAATGGAGACAAATGGTTTTTAATACTTGACGTGCTGTTGGAGTGTGAGCAAAGTAACATTTATGAAGGGATTCAGGGAAACCGGCAGGCCGGACTTGAGTCCTGGAGATGGGAAGTACAGTGCCTGCACTCTAAAGGAGGGGTGTTAATGTTGCAGTTTAAAAACTGTAGTGTAAAGCACCCTTCTGGCAAGACAGTGATGGAGTGAATGATGGTGAAAGTTTTTCTTTTTCGGGCCACCCTGCCTTGGTGGGAATCGGCCAGTGTGATAATAAAAAATAATAATAAAAAGAAGTTAGATAAAGAATATTATAAACCGAAGAAAGCATCTCCGATTATAACATGGGTGTGTCTAGGGAAAAAAGGTTCTAAGTTGTGAACAATTTTCAGGGATGCATTAACACTGTGTGGTATCCTCTTGTATATATGAGAAACAATATACAACCATGTATATAACAAGAGTAGTATACAACTATACAGACAGAAGGAACAGTATACTGCACTGTCTGCAGGATATGGCAAAAGCAATACATGTATATAACTTTGTATGTGTAAGAAACAATATAAAACCTACTGTGTATAGAATGAATGGTTTACAACAATATTTGTGTGTTGTAAGCTTAATTAATCTTACTAGAAACTTTAGGCTCACTACAGTATTTTAAGAGTCCTTCTTTTCTAAAGGTATTCAAAAGTATGCCATGTTTTCCACAGATTTTGGTTGAGTAGGCCTACATGTAGGAAATAATGCTTGGAATGCAAACATATAAAATATATAATTGTGATTGCAACAAGATATTATTCACTAAAGTTATAATATATGATTACCTATAACTCATATGAGTTTGCTTTGTGAATGTAGTAATAGTATTACAGTACTTTGTGCTGTCAAAGCAACATTAATCTGTTCATTCGCATCTAACTTTTGATACAAAACTCCAACTCCAGCAATGTATCCGTAAAACCACCACCAGCTGGATATTAATATTTTGCACATTTTTATAAAGCCACAACTCTGTACTCTGTGCTACTAAGCCACCACTGCCACATTAATCCACTCAATTTTCTCTATCTTTAGTCATCCACCTCCTGCAAACTGTCTGTACAGCTTTAATCTTGTCTACATCTTCACAAAGCCACTAAGAGTACCTAAAACTCTTCTACAGAGTATCAATAACAACTGTTTTCACAAACATCATCTCACATAATAACCATTTCTTCTTCCCTTAAGACTATTAAAAACCAAACACTGTTAATTTGCATATACAGTATACTATATGCTGCTTTTCATACAATTATCATGGCTTCCATCTGAGTCCCACTAACATGCCTTACTAACTGTGCACAAATTCAGATCTCGCCATAATTAGTGGCTTAGAGGGGTTTGGGATATTGGCAGTTTGGAGGGATATGTTGTGTATCTTTATATGTGTATGCTTCTAAACTGTGTATTCTGAACACCTCTGCAAAAACAGTGATAATGTGCGAGTGTGGTGAAAGTGTTGAATGATGATGAAAGTATTTTCTTTTTGGGGATTTTCTTTCTTTTTTGGGTCACCCTGCCTCGGTGGGAGACTGCCAACTTGTTGAGAGAGAAATAATAATAATAATAATAATTGCCATAATTAGTTCATCATTCATATCAAGCATCTGTCATTCATCTCTAGTGCAAGTTAAGTCTTGCCAGGCCTATTGAGATTAGGTTTAGCATAACTTTTTAGTTTCTCACAGACCCTTAGTGAGACCTTACCTCTTTTATTTCTTTCGTCTTCTAAGTATTTTAGCCAGAAACCCACACATTCCAGACTGTGTCGTGTGTATGTCCTCTACTCTGTGGCTAAATATTGAGCTGCTTTTCTATGGTTAAATATGAGTCTAATTAGTCTTCTATCAAGATCTCAAATTTCCAGGGGGATAAATATTCATCAATACTTCTATTGCAACATTGAACACTGTCCTCTTACTACTACATGGCCATCAGCATACTCTCTTAACACTTCTGCTTATGTGCATGCAAGCTAATGACAATTAGTCTTGACTACCATAAAAGCATTAACTTGCTGCCACCTGTACAGGTGGCAAACATCATGAGATCTGTCGTGCTGGTGGAGTATCAGACAACATGTCATTTCATTAATGTATACAAGTGTTTTTAATATTAATTGGTTTTGCGATGTATATCGTGAATGGCATGCAACTTCTCTGATGTATCATGAAAGGTATACAGTACAAATGTATTGATGTGGCATAAATGATATATAACTGTACTGATATGGCCTAAATGATGGGAAACTACATGTATACTGATGTGACAAATGGTATACACAGCTATTTACATTCAAATTCAAATTCAAAGTTTATTCTCTATAAGGATTACAATGCTGAGTTTACAGAATTTGGTTATTGTGTGGTTTACATGTAGTAAAATAATGATTACAGAGTGTACCACTAGAACACCTAGCATGGCTAGGCATTTCGGGCAGACTTAATTTAAATCTTAATTTTAAAATATTACAAATTATGAGGTAAGTTGGTATTATG